CCTCTAGGTGCCTCATATAAGTGGAATTATACAGTATTTGTCTTTCTGTGACTGGCTTATTTTACTTAGAACAAGATTCATCCATGTTGTAGCTTATGTCAGAATTCCTTCCTTTTTAAGGCTGAATAATATTCCATTTAATGTATATACCATATTTTGTTTGTTCATTCATCTGTCGATGAACACTTGGGTTGCTTCCATATGTTAGCTACTGTGAATAATGCTGCTATGAACACGGGTGTACAAATATCTGTTTGAGACCCTGCTTTGAATTCTTTTGGGTATATGCCCAAGAATGGGATTGCTGGATCGTATAGAATTCTATTTTTAATTTTTCGAGGAACCACTGTAGTGTTTTACATGGCAGCTGCACCATTTTACATTCCCACTAACAGTGCACAAGGGTTCCAGTTTCTCCACGTCTTCATCAACACTTTTTATTTTCTACTTTTTTTGATAGTAACCATCCTTATAAGTGTGAGATGGAAGAGTCATTTTTATATAGAGACAGTCCGGTCACCTTTGTGATGGTTAGAAACTTCTCTTCTTCCTTGCTCCACAACTATACCTACCCGGGTCGATGGACAGTGGAGTCAGCGACGGAGAAAGCGAATGGATACTCCTTGAGAGTGAGCACAGCAAGGGAGATGAGCGGCGGCCTGTCTGCTCAGTATTCAGTGTGCTGTGGTGGAAGAAGAGTTGTTCTGGAAGGCTGAAATGTTGTGTTCTCTTCTTTCATTAAACAGGGCATATTTAACTAATCATCTCCCGTGCCCTAGGCATTGTTCTAGCTGCTGCAAGAATAGCATTAAACAAGATGAGTAAGGCTTCTGCTCTCCTACAGTTTACATGCTAATAAAAAGAGACAGACAATAAACAAGCAAACAAAAAACAAGATAATTTCAGACAGAAATAAATGCTGTGAAGTAATAAAACAAAGAGGACCATAAGAGCTGATTCCCTTGGACTTTAGCCCTATAATCTAGAGTTTACTAAAAAGTAAAACTATATAGTTACTTTTCAAGCTTAGTTCAACAAATATGTATTGAGTATCTACTATGTGCTAGGTCTTTGAATTTCAATGAAAGAGACAAAAGGATTACTCTGAAAATTCAATGAGATAATATATATAAAGCACTTGGGATAGGATCTAGCACATGGTAAGCTTTCAATAAATGTTCATTATGTTATCATTGTCTTCATTATTATTAAAATTATCCTTGAAGTTTCTACTATCTCTTAAAAATAAATATTCAAATCCCCTATCCAGATTAAGTTTTCCATCCCTGTCCCTATCATTCTTGTGTTCTTTTCAATAATAGCCTCTAAGTCTTTATAAGTGTATCTTCCCTCTCTTTATTCTCTTGTGTTTTGTTTCTTTGCTTGTTTATTATTTGTCTCCTTCTGTTAGCATGGAAACTCTAGAGGCTGTTTATCACAGTGGTTAAGATTCTGGGCTCCGGAAACAAATTCCCTGAGTTTGCATCCTGTTCCCACCATTTTCTGGTTGTGTGGACTTAGGCAAGTTACTGGACTTCTCCATGCCTTGGTTTTCTCATCTGGAAAATGGGAGATCTGGAAAAATACAATATTTCCTATTCTTGTTGTAAGCATTAAAAAGACATGACCTATGTAAAGTGCCTGGCATGTAATAAGCATTCAATCAAGTTTAGCCACAGTAATTATCAATATATACAGCAAGTAACTTAAACATGCATCTGTAAACTGGAAATAGTAATATATAGCTCACAGGGTTGCAGTCACATTTAAATGAGATTAAATCTGTAATGTATTTAGTAGAACATCAGCCTACATTTCTTACCCTCTCTTTACCCTCCCTACTTCACCCTTTCCACACCCCACATGTAACTTCTTCCAAAAAAATTTTCTTTTTGTACATAAAAAAATCAGTTCCAATTATCCCTCCTCCTTCTCTCATAATTGCTGTCTTAGTCTCCTGAAATCCCCTTGCCTTCAACCAGTACAGTCCCTCTCAGCTGGATAGGATCCAGTTGCTTCACTTCAGATTTGGGGACCCATTACCCAGAAGAGGGCCCCTAACTCAGAGGCTGAGGGACAGCACCCAGTCAGCCCAGAGCTGCTCCTGAATTGACTGTGGTCTCTCCCGCATACATGCCCGATATGTGCATGGATCTAACTGACTCCAAACCACGTTGCTCTCTAAAGACACCTGCCCTAATCTTATTTGGAATAACATGCTGAGAAAAACAGGCTTGGTTTTCTCATTTTTTTGGCTCTTGTTACTGTGAATTCTTGCCTACTCGCTCTCCCATTTCCCACCTCCCGCACCTGCTTTCACACAGCCTGACCTCCACCTTGATTTCCACTTCCCAGTCACATTCCCCTGTTGGTCTACCAAATTGTCCTGTAGTTTTGAATGGAATCACAAATACATTTTTTTTT